GACAGGTGCTAGTCAGCCTTTCATGGGTAGAGGATTCTTATGAAAACCAGGTGACCAGCTTCTCTTGTAGCCCAAACCAAAATCTTCTGGCAGACGGAGACCCCTGAGGAGAGTGAGTGGAGGGACCCGGATGATGAAATGTTCTAGATTGTGTCCATGACCAAAGTTGTGTCAGAAGATGGGAGGAAACTGTCCTAAATCTGTAACACCTAAGTTCTCTTCCACTAAATGTGTGTTTTGGGAAATGTAAGGAGTGAAAAAAGAAAGTAATGATTAATAGTATGGCCGGTCTTATGCATAGGTCATGGTAGAAATAGTTGATATCATGGGGTCATTTGAAAAAAAAAAAAGACTCCATTTGTCAAAAAAAGGAAGAGCAGGAGACAATCTGAGGCTGAATAACTACTCTCAATCAAAAGCTGTCAGAAAAGCTATATGAATAAAGCAGATGAATCATCCATACAGTGTCTGCCACTGGTGTAGACCACTGGTAATCAGCATGGTGATTAGGATAGCCCTAATTTGGTTTTCAGGTACTAAGTGTTCTGATTCAGAATGAATGGCGCCTACACTTGAAACTGCCCTTAGAATAGAGATGAGCAAGCTTCTAGTGGCTGGGATCCAGGCTGAACACTTTGCAAAACCACATCATGTACAAACGGGCAGGACAAAGTTTTTCCTGTTTGGGGGCTGTGAGATTTACTTTCTTTTGAACGGTGCTAAACTTACCTTAGCCTATTCTATGTATTATGCTGCAGTATTTATTTCCAGTCTCAACAACCTTTGGTAAGGCAGATTTTTAAAAGAGATGCAAAGATGTGGTTATTCACCCATCTCTTAAATGCAGGGGAAGCTTATCTTGGAAAGCAAAAAACCTAAGAGGAAAACTAAACCAGGTACAACTTTATTTCACAGTGAGCTTCCAGGAAGATGCTATGGCTCGTAGTGCTAATGTGATTTGTGGGGACATTCAAACCAAGATATCTGACAGGAAATACTGTTCTTTTTTGCTAGTAAAGGTCATTTTTAAATGCTGTCTTTTCTGAGACATCCCATTCCTGAAAAGTAAAATTTGGAAGACAAATAGAGTAATAGAGTGGACAGTTAGAGAGATTTCAAATGAATGCAGTGGAATGCAAAATAATGCATTTATTTGTGACAGCACCTACTTTACCTTCATTAATCTAAAAATCACAACAACATTGTAAGCCCTGGATATTATTTTGATGGGAAACCACAAGGAAAGGCAAATGTCAGTACTATTACAAGAACTATCTACGTATGACAAACTCAATTTGTGGGAGGCTTTGTTCTTATCTTACTTAGCTGTTTGGCTTATATAACAGGATATTAAAAATGTGAATGTGAATGTGAAGGTGTTTTTACAGTTATTAACAGTTGCTGTCTGTCAGTAGCACATTGAAAATCACTGTTGTAAGATGTAAATAGATTGAACATCAAATTAGATATATTTCAGAATTCAAGTATTATAAAAAAAAAATTTTTTTTTTTTGCTTTGTGGGGAAAAATGTCCATCATTGTTTATAGGATAACTACTGTATTTCCCCCCCTTTATTCATTTAAATATTAAATATTGATTTTGACACTTCTTTTACATGACTAGCATTTTCCCCAAAAAACATTGAAGGTCACCAATGTTTATAGGGACTAATGATGTTTCCCCCCAGTTCACTGCAACAGAAAATCTAGCATCTTCTTTTAAGTATCTAAGCATTTCCATCCATCTTATTCAATGAAACTTTTTCATAAAGATGGGGCTTCTCATTTTTTTCATCATATTCCATTCTTTTTCCATTCACAAACTTTGCTGACTTTTTGAAGAAAAAGTCTGATGGCTATACAGTCCAGCAGACAATAAATGCTTATCAGATTAACAAAGAGTTAAAATTCATTTATTCATTAACTTAATGAGGAAAATGAGTTTGACACCCCTGATCTAATTAATTTCCAATAATCTAAATAGAAGATGTATTATTCTAATTAAACAGAAATGCTGAGAGGATTGGGATAATTTCTTCTTATCCTTTATGGAGCTGAATTAACTTTATTTTGGTGCTGGATTTAGCATTTATTAGGTACCTTCACATTATTTGCATATAGTACAACCTGAGCAGAAATTGTATAACATGCAGAATTACCTTCAATTCCTGTCAGAAAAATAAAAATATTATCATGTGATTGTAACCATGATAGAAAGGAGCAACATGTTATTATGCAGGATGAGCCTTACTGTTAGGCCTGCGGAGCAGTTTCCTTGGGGAGCAGGAGAAAAGTGGAAAAGTACTTCATGAAAGGAAGACGATGCATAATGATGTGCTATATATACCATATCTCTTAAGTTGCTGGCTTCAGATGCAGTGGAGGAAGACAGTGTCTCAATGCTAATATGGAACCAATTTTCAGCTCAAAGTCCAGGTGCTATCAGCACATTGCAAACATTTCCACATGCAGGATTAGTATAATCCTATATAATTCTCAGCCTTTGTGACCACACAAATTTGCTTCCCTTTTTCTAGGCATCTAATTAACTTCCAGTTCCATCATGGCACAAAGTAAATGGCAACAAACGCATTTGAGCAATTGAAAGGATAAACCATGGGGGTAGACCATCTGGGAACTCCCAACTGTCCTTTACTATTCTCCCTCTACCTTACAGAGGCAGGATGCTGGTTGTTAGCCATTGCCATTTCTTGAGCAGTAGTGAGGAATACAGTCACAGTAACGATATGGACAATTGTTTTGGCAGCTATGTAGACCTTTCCAGAATGAGGACAACGGTGGGACACTGAATATTTCCTTGGCAAATATCCCTGGTGATGAAGCAGAATTTCTCATGCCACAGCAAAGGCCTTCCAAAGCCTCCCTCATTCTCTTTAGAAAGAATGATTAAGATCAGGCAGGAGCTACTCTATACCTGACATCCATTTGGGACTCCTTTTGTTAAGGCACTACTCTTGCCCCTTTCAAAATTACAAAAGGAAAATGATACAAATTCATATAGAATTTATATAAAAGGCAAGGAACACTCTGGGTTGTGTGGGAGGGAGAATGGGTGGGCGCTGTCTCTGGTGGGCAGGAGAACAGTGGAAGCACTGAAGTAAGATGGAATCAGTGAGGCTGGGCTGGGCTTGGGTGTGGCGTACCCTGAATAATGCCACGGGATAGGCTTTAATGAAGCGCGAGTGGCCGGGGCGGATTGCGTGCTTCATGGGTGAATCACCCAAGTGGGAGGCATTGGCATGAGTAATGCGCTAGATTTTTGTGGCAGCTTTACAGGCATAACCATATTCCTATCCTTGGTCTGGAAATAAAGATACTGTATATTGTAGATATTTCTATCTCTGAAAAAGGAAAAGGGAAACACCAAGCAAGCTAAAAGAATAATAATATTTGTGGCATTTCTAACAATGCAGGAATGTGCCTTAGTCTTCCATATAATGTTTCATATTACTTAGAGCTTTTTGGCTGTATTTATCTTTTCTATTAGCATCCAAAATTTCACTCTCAAAATACTAAGTTTTTTTTTTTTTTTTAGAATTACATCATTTATGGTGTGCTAATAAACTTAGGAAATAGAGTTTCTCTTTGGGCTAAGAGCATTATTTCAGCCAAATAGTTAAATATTTGACAGAAAAACTGTAGTTCAAGGCAGCGGCCCCCAACCTTTTGGGAGTTAGGGACCGGTACCGTTTTCTGTGGATGGTGGGTATGTGTTTTGTGTATGTGATGGTTTCTCATAACGCAGGCATCCTGTGGATGGGACTTCTGTTGCTTGCATGGCCCAGTTTCTGCTGGGCTGTGGACCGGTGCTGGTCCTTGGCCCTGGGGTTGGGGGCCCATGGTTTAAGGTATATGATGAATGTATTTCAAAAATTCATTCATTATTTATAAACCATACAATGTTTAATGAACATTAATGAACCCAAATCATTAACGCACAATTTCTGACTAGTCTGTTGTACCCTGTGAAGTATTAGATCATTTAAAATTATGCCTTGCTGAAAGTAAACCTTTGTCTCAGCTTTGAACATTCACTGGGAATTCGGATGGGATCCTTAAGGAGACATTGTTCTCTTAACAATAAGAGGGCCAATTTGGTATAATGACTAAGGCACCAGGCTAAAAACCAGGAGAGCATGAATTCTGATTCTGCTTTAGACATGCAACCAGCTAGGTGGTCCTCCTATAGGCCAGTCTCTCTCTGTATACCCTATGAATGAAGCCATGGCAAACCATTTCCAAAAAATGCTGCCAAGAAAACCTCAGGGACTAGTCCAGGCAATTGCCAGGATTCAAATTTGACATATGTATTTCCAGAGACCTGGAAATCTCCAGAATCTACTAGTACTATATGGGCAGGAAACAAGAATAGGAGTTTCCAAAAGAGAAAAAGGGGGGGGGGGAAGACATTATGTAAGCATATTTTCATCCTAGAACAATCTTGGTAACCTTTAGGCTAGACTGGATTGGACTTGAGGTGAATCCAAGTAACATGTTTTAAAATGAAAACACCTCTCTTGGTTTCAGGCAAATAGCACTAGGGGTTTTTCTTCTCCCGGCCCTACTGAAGCCTACACATGCAGGCACACATCCTCTAAGGTTGCTATTTGCATGTGGGGAAGTCTTAATTGCCCTTGATTGCTTTTAACTGTTGCTATGGGAAACCTTTCCTGTGCAAAAAAAAAAAAAAAGAATTATTTTGGTGACATGTCAGATTAATACAAGAATACGTGCAGCCATTTTGCTTGTATGAAAGAAGGATGGGACAAATAGGGCTGATGGGGGGATAAGGATTGCTTGACAAAAAGTTTTTCGGGTGAACTCCCCCAGCATCAGAATATCCTGAATCACTCCAAGCTAAAAAAAAAGCTATCTGTTCCCATGGTCTGAGCCACGCATGTAGATTTCATTTGTGTAATGAGTTTGGGGGAAGTATATTCAATGGGAGTGAATAAGACAAGTTTCTTTTCTCCTATGATTTCTCAAGGAAAGTAGTGGGGTGTGGAGGAAGGAGGGTTGGGGAATGGAGGCTTTGCTCCCCCGGTCACAGTGCTCCCTTTGCCCACAGCTCCTTACAAGTGTGCTCCCTGCAGGAGATTCGTGGGGGATCCTTGCCTTCCTGTGTGCCACGCTTTGGAACCTGCCTGGGGTGCCTGCACTGAACCGCACGGACCAAGTGACCACCAGACAGTCCATCCAGCAGATGTACGACCTTACTCGCTATCTGGAACACCAGCTGCACGTGCTTGCGGCCACTTATGTGAGTGTAGATGCTTTGGGAGAATGGAAGCAGCTGAGCTGAGAAACTGCCTAGAAATTCTTGTCTTGCTTCTTTCCCCTTTCCTTCAACCATCTCCATTTTTTCCCCTGCCCAACTGGCCTCTTTGGAAAATTCTGCCTCCCTGTTTCTCTCCATTGGGATATCTCTGCAGCCAAGGAAGGCCAGGATTCTCTCTGTGTATTCTGGCATGTGGGTTTAGTGCACCTCAGGTCACTTCTGCATGGAACTGCACTTTTCCATAGGACCCAAGGCAGTTGTTCGGGGTTTTTCTTTTCTTTCCATTCTGGGAATTAAAATGTTGCAAGAAGTGGTAGGGAAAAAGATAAGTGCTGTAAACGGAAAACAGTGTCATTTGGAGCTTCATAAAACTGGTGCATATGAAGGGAAAGATTATATAACTAGATACTGCATCTTGAAAGCCCATTGCAAGAGAAAGATGTTAAAAGGCAACAGACTGATTCTTCATCTTATTTTAAAAAGGATTTAGGGATATGGAAATTTTGTGCTTGCGACACTTTGTGCCAGCACCTAAAATTTCCTCCTACCTGGTGAATAGCTGAAATACTGTTCTCTCTCCACAGCTATGGCTCTCACTTGGCAGAATATCTGACATCTTTTCTCCTCCCTGCCTTCAGGCACCGGTGGAGTCTCCCTGTTTACAATCTGTTGTGGATCTCCCGCTGGGGTGAGGTGAGGCCTCGTCTGTCAGAACTTGCCAGGGAAACGCCCGACTGTGCAGAAAGTGGGGGTAGCCCCTCATCAGCTTGCGTGGCATCCCTGCTCTCTGGCCTACCTGGCATTTCAGGCCCTACCCTTTGGCAGCTTTCCCTGACACTGAGCATCAAATGCTATCAAATCAGGAATTTGCTTGGTTTGGACCATGGAAAACGCAGGAGCCATGTTTTCTAGTAGATCAACATTCCTGAAATATTTTTTTAAGGAGGCGGATCAAGAAGGTCAGATTTTCACAGTCTAGAAAACTAAAGAATTGTGTCATTATACAGCAGCTAGTGTCCATTCACTGAGTTTGCGTGATGTGCTCATTTAATGAGAACCTCTGTCCCAGAAATGAACAAATTTTGGTAATAATAAGCTGGAAGAAGCTGATCAACAGATGCAAATTTAGCCTAAAGCCAACTCTCTGGGCTTCCACTGTGCACATATTCAGCTTGTGCTGGTTCCCTCCCCCCCCCCCCACAGATAACGATGAAGGAAGGAAGAAGGAAGGAAGGAAGGGAGAGAGAGAGAGAGAGAGAGAGAGATCAAAATGATGATCATGATGTTTTCCTCTTTCTCTCTCAATCTGTTTCAATCTCTGGGTAGGGATTGAAAAACTACATTCTGGGATGATAGGTGTCATTTGTTGATAAAACTGTCCCCAATTAAATATTGATACTACAATACTTATCAAAGGTACAGTTATTTATCATTATAGCAACAAGAAGGGAGAAAGATACCATATGTTGGATTAGTATTGGTATACTGATCCTATATTACAGGCATACTGATGATCAATATTGGAATTTTCCTTGCCAATCCCAGTTAATGGCACATTCCCATGTTGTCCACATGGAACACAAAATATCTGAATGTCTTCAAAATGTATAACTGTGTATACAGACAGACATACACAATTTTCCAAATTCACATAAAAACAGGTATAAAACCTTTTACATTAGATTCACAGAAAGCCAGTTTCAGTTAACACTTATTTTCAGTGAGTGAACTTACATAAATAAAGATATGGCAATAACAGTTGGTCTCTCAAACTTCTTGTCTATTTATAATTTCTTTTTAAAATGTATTAGCTAAAATTGTATGGCCTGTCATGCCACGGAAAGTGACTCTGGGAAGCATATAATAATCTGTATAAACTTGCAAATAAATAATCATTATATAATAGTTATTAAAATAATTAAAACTTATAAAAGCAAAGCTAAAGCAGGAAAAGAGAATAATGGATGGAGGAATATTGGAATAATAATAAGGGACCCACCTCATGAGTTCATCTTGAGGGACCTTCAGAAGTTGAGAAGTGATGAAATCCACAATAAGGGTGCTGCAGCAAAAAGAAAAAAAAAGAAAAGAAAAAAAAGACCCATCATCTAGGGCCTGTCAACTGTAGGTCTCAAGATATTAGAATCTGTAACATACTTATTTTATGAGATCTGGTGGGACCGGTAAATGAAACTGCAGAAAGATGTTCCCTCAAATAAACCAGTCCCATGCCATTAGCACATTAAAGGTCAACACCATAATGGACTATCTCTCCTGTCCATCATAATTGTTAAGAAATCAGAGCATGACCCAGGCCTCTAGAAATAACTTAAGACAGATTAAGATTTTAGTAAAGCAAAGTATAAATTGTTTCCTGCAACCTGGTAGTTTCCAAACCTTTCGGACTGTGATTCTAAGCATCAGACTCTTTAGAGAATCGATGGCAATATAAATGTAATAATAAATAAATATCCCCTCATAACTCAGCTAGGGGCTAATGGGACATATTCAAACCATCTGGAGAGTATCAGGTTGGGAAAGGATATTTGATAAACCAACCTGAAAATGAAACGGAAGAGGTAAGGGTAAATCAAATTAAGATAAGGAACGGCACTATAGCAATATGAAGGAGATTGCTGAGGCCCATAAGTGTAGCAACTGGGAAATCAGATCCTGTAGAAAGGCTATATTCCTCATTGCCTTACCTGCCAAGAAAAACCTAGCACTATTTTTCCGGAGCGTTCCTGAGGAAATGGGGAGCACAAGCCAACCCTTACAGCCCATCTACTGAAATGACCCAAACTTGACTTGCGCTAGTACTACCATTCCTCTCATTATGAAAGAAAGAAATGAACTGAGAGAGAAAATTCAGGAGAGGAATTTGGAGAGTGACAAAGAGATGAGCCCGATGGTGAAGGAAGTTGGGTTGATGCCTTAGGGGGGGTAAGGGAAACTGCCCACAGTCTATCTTAAGTAGGTCAGTATTTGCAACGCTTAATGGTTAGCAACCAAATAGAAGGGGAAAACAAAGCAAAACAACACAAAGATAGCTAGGCAAAGTGCCCCATAGTCACCAGAGCTTTGCTCTGAACCTGTCAGGAAAGGAAAACAATTGGGCAGGCCATCCTGCTGGCAGCTTTTGAGGGGATGTTACAAACTTTTCCCTAAATGATCTCTAAAAGGCTGCCATAGAAGGTATGGATAGAGACACAAGAATCCTTACTACATAAACCTTTTAGAGGCTGTGAAAGTGTGGTTTAAGTGCATCAGAGCTCTACCATGGCCTCTCCTTAGTCTTCTGGGCTTGTGGGATATGCAAGGAATGGAGTCCGTGATAAGCATGGGCTTCATTAAGTGTTAAAAGGTACCTGCCTTTCCCTGAGACATGCTGAAGAAAGTTGTTTTTCTAGCTAGTTCTCTTTGCAACATCCCTCCAAACATTAAACACTAAATGAAGACTACCCGAATAGCTATTGAAACTAGTGGCCACTGGTCACTGGGATTTGGGTAAGTTTTAGGGGCTGATCCTCCAAACCCTATCCAGATCCCTTCTACACAAAATTAGGTCTACTTGCATCTATGTGCAGATGTTTTCTTCAGTGTTCTAAATAGCTTTTGGATCCTCCCTATTAAATGAATCCAGTAAATGATAAAATATAAAGCAGAATTTTAATTTTTTAAGATTCGTACACGTTTTCAATCTGAGCATTTTTGTGTGTTCGCAACACACCTTTCTCCCTCTGCCTGAGGCCACAGTTTTGCAGAGAATGAGACAATAGTTGAGATCAGTGAATGAGGTGAATAGTAGTTGGTTCATTGTCCATGTGTGAAAACTGAAATTATTAGGAAAAGGAAAGCCCCTGACAGATGTAGGTTCATATCACTTCATCTCTTAAACAAACAATGTATCTTCCAAAAACCTTCCAAGTGCACCATGTTCCCTTCCTTATTCTTTCCCCCTATGAAGCCCCTATTCTCAAATGTAACAGAATTCCACTTTCTCCTTTCCCTCTTTTCTCCTGCTGGTCTCATGTTGATGGCCACGTCCCAGCCTGCCTGTTAGCTGATCTCTGCTACTGCTATAAAATCGTTTGGGGAGCCTCTATCTGCCCTCGGGCAACAGAGAGGAAATTAATTTGTCTCCTGAGCTTGTCAGGTTCTTCACACACCCGCAGGGTTTGACACACCTCCCTTCCGCTTGGTGCTTCACCCACCCCACCGCCTGGGCAATCCTGCTGCCTGCGGGACACCACTGTTGGCAGGGGGTGGGGAATCCCAGGAACGCAGCCCAGCAGGGCGGGCAGGCAGGCAGGCAGACAGGCAGTGTGAATAAAGCCAGCATGTGCCTGTGTTTATAGCAAAATGATCAGCCGGGAAGCAAGGATCATTCAATGATAGAAACTTAGTAACTGTAATAGCTGCATAGAAGTGCAAGAAGTACAACAGATAACAGCGGAGTCTTAGCAAATCAGTGGATCCAGGGACACTTTGCCAATGCCCATGGATGGCTTGGTCAGCAGGCATAGTTGGGCAACAGTATACAGAAATATGTCACCTCTTGCCTGTAGCACTGTGTACAGGTAGTCCTTGACTTATAATCATAAACTGTAGCAAAAAGAATATAACATCGGGCATCATTCACTTAATTGCCTTGCTTAGCCACAGAAATGCTGGTCCCAATTGTGGTTATCAGGACTACTTGTACTGCAACGGATCTTTCCTACAACCAAGCTAAGGTCTTATCCATTCTACCATCAGTAGAAACTCTACCAGTTTCTCCCACCGCTGATCATGTTTCTCTTTTCTATATTCCTGGGCACTACCAAGTTTCCTGTTTCCCTTTCAACTCATGGATGACAAGGCATGACAGCTTTTGCACCGCTTGAGGCTGTTCGAATAAGCAGGGCCATTTTAACATGGGAACACCTTTTAAAAATGGCAGCTTTCCCACTGGTGGACTGGAGATCAGATGAAGCAACATTGGGGGGTGGGGGAGTGTCACAACTGGAAAAAGAGATTGGTTGTTTTATAGTTAAGTAGAAGTGGACACATGTCCTGTGATCCCATAGACTTACATCTCCTTGTCTTACTTATAAGAGAGCGAGAGAGAGGAGGCATTCCTAGAGGAGGTGGGTAGAAAGCACTGGGAAAGTAAGGATTCCCGTTTAAGTGAGTAACACTTTCTTGTCTTTTCTCCTCAGCTCAACTACCTGGGGCCACCTTTCAATGAGCCAGACTTTGACCCTCCCCGGATAATTGGGGTAGAAGCTGTGCCAAGTGCCACCGTAGACATTCAGGAATGGCACAGCTTGAATGACAATGCCCGGCTAGCAGCTAATTACCAGGCCTACAGCCACCTGCTCTGCTACCTGAGGACCATGGATGGTTCAGCTCCAACTGCAGTGCCGAGTCTGCGCCACAGCCTTGCCCACTTCCGGGCTAGCCTGCAAGGGCTGCTGGGCTCAATTGCAGGCATCATGGCTTCCCTGGGTTATTCACTCCCAACTCCTGGGCCCCCTCTAGAGATTACCCCACCCAGCCACTTCCTGCGCAAGATGGACGACTTCTGGCTGCTCAAAGAGCTACAGACCTGGCTGTGGCGCTCAGCCAAAGACTTCAACCGACTGCGCAAAAGGGTGCCTCCTTCCGCTGTTATGCTGCATCTGGAAACCAGAGGCTTTTGATTCCTGTTGTTGCCATTGTCTCTGCCTTCACCTCATTCACTGACAGCATTCAGACCTGCCACTCAAGAACTAGCACTTCTGAAAGACTCCAAATCCAATGCCTTCTCCCAGCCCCTCCACAAAATTGCCCTCCTCCTCCTTGCTTTTTTGGTGCTGCATTGCTCTCTGCTACTAAGCTGTGCTTCTGGGTGAGCAGATACACATCTATACAGCCTGTTTCTTCGCATTTCTTCCTTCTCCACCTTGTATAAAATTAATATCTCCTCCTCCTCCTTCTCTCTCTCTCTCTCTCTCTTTCTCTCTTTCTCTCTTCCTCTTCTAGAGAGGCCATTCATTTTCCAGAAGAAGAGGAAGAGTGTTTCCCTTCGCACCTCCAGGATGAACAAGGGCAGCCAACAGCTGCAGCCTCCACCGCTGATAC